TTTTTTATAGTGCACTTGTGTTTATTTTAGCAAAACCTATGCTGATGTAGTTACAATTAGAAGAAAATACACTCCAAGTCCATTCAATAATAAACAAAACTTTAATTATAATTTGGATAGTTTGCTAGATGCATATAAATCTTCATTTACATATGTATATTTTCATACTGGTAAGGATTTGAAGAGTTATGTAAAGATGATAAAATACACTGCCAAAGTAGCTAAAAAACAAGGAGGACCCTAAGAGAGACATACATGTTCCCCTGGAGAAGGGGAAAGGATCAAGATATGCTGAGAAAATTGGGAGCACGGGAAGAGGGGGTAGGGAGCTAGGAGAATGAGAAGGGCAGAAGAGGAGGGATGCAGAGGACATGAGGGAGCAGAAAGGTTGAGTCAGGGAAAGAATAGGTGATAACAAGAATGGAGATACCATAATAGAGGGAGACATTTTAGGTTTACAGAGAAATCAGGTACCAGGGGAATGTCTGGAGATCTACAAAGATGACAGCAGCTATCAATCTAAGCAACAGAGGTGAGGCTACCTTAAATGCCCTCCCCTGATAATGAGATTTATGACTGACTTATAAGCCATCCTACAGCCTTCATCCAGCAGCTGGTAGAAGTAGAAGCAGACACCTACAACTAATCACAGAACTGAACTGGAACCCAGATGCAGAAAAGGATGAGTGAAAGCACAGGGCTCCAGACTAGGCTGGTGAAACCCACAGAAAGAGCTGACCTGAACATTGGGGAACTCTTGGTCCCCAGACTGATAGCTGGAATACCATCATGGGACTGATCCAGACCCCAGGAACATGGGTTTCTGTGAGGAAACCTTGGAAATCTACAGGACCTCCTGTAGAAGTTCAGTACTTATCCCTAGCATAGGTGTGGACTTTGGAAGCCCATTCCACACAGAGGAATACTCCCTGAGCCAAGACACACGGGGGTGGGCCTAGGTCCTATCCCAAAGGATACAATAGAGTATGATGACACCCTATGGAAGGCCTCACCATCCAGGGGGAGCAGAAAGTATATGTGATAGGTAGGGTTTTAGTTGGGGAGGGTGGTAGGGGAGGACGGGTGGGAGAAGGTGGGATTTTCATGTAAAACAATCCTGTTTCTAATTCAAATAAAAAAAAGTTGGGAAAAATGTATCTCTAAAGCTGTAGCCAACCAGAATTTGCAAGTGCTTAGCACATTTATTCTCCATGAACTCTAATAATCTGTTTGTAGGAAATATTAATTAAATATAGCACTTGATATTTTATCATCTTTACAGGATACACACTCTTAAAGCCAGGCCTTGCAAGTACTTCTTCCAGGAAGGCACCACCTCCCTCAGGTTCTGTAACTTCCCAAGCAGTGTCAAACATGGGGAACAAATGTTCAAGAACATGAGCCTATAGAAAAATAAGTTTGCATTTAAGCCACAGTATCTACTTGTAATCAGTCTATGACACAACCCTAAAATGATCTATAAACATCATCAATGTTGGGAAATTGACATTTCTCTGAGGTACATTTTCAGTACCCTCTGAAAATCTTCAGTTCTGTATAATTTCACCTATTATTTAAAACATACCTGTTTTAAAATTAATTATTAAGCAGAAAAGAAAACATTAAAATAGAAATATTGGTCCTTTGAAAGTTAATTTGCAGATGCTAAAATATTTATATTTGGAATATACTTTGAATAACTTGTATTTACTATTAGAATTTCTTTTTGTAATTTTGTATAGAGGGAAGGGAGTTGTAAATTTTATAATCAGGTGTCTAGCTATACTTCTTCTAAGAAATCATTTTTTAACAGTAAAAAATTCATCAAGTGTCACATGAATAATATAAGAGCAAATTTATTTCATAATTTGAAAGTATAGCTTTTTTCTGGGGTGATCAAATACTTCTCTTATGCAAAGTTCTTGAAATAGTAGACTACACTCTAAGATAACTGTTCAGTTTTTGAAATTCAATGCACTTCCTCCTTCTTGTAGTAACATAGCCCAAGTTTCCATCTGTCTGTAGTTACTCTTCTATTTTTCATTCATTCATTTCCCAGAATTGACTATATCAATCTCTTCTTTCTTGAAATATTGACCCATCCCTTTAATTTAGTTACTGGGTGGGGGACTTCTGTTAAATACCCCCATTTTTTCTCTATATAGTTCATTTTGCCTACATGTATCTATGTTTACATACATAGATATTTTTTGTTTGTTTTGTTTTTTCGACACAAGGTTTCTCTGTATTGTTTTGGAGCCTATCTTGGCACTCACAATGTAAACCAGGGTGGCCTCGAACTCACAGAGATCAGCCTACCTCTGCTCCCAAGTGTTGGGATTAAAGTTGTGTGCCACAAACATAGCTATTTTTACCCCTATTTAGTTGCAGTCTAAATTTTTACTCTGTCTTGTTGGTTATTACCATGATTCACTAATTGACCAAGACAGCATCCTGTACCACCAGCCTCACTATTTATCCCACAACTTCTTGGTACAATAGAATTACTATATTTACCATAAATTCCTTTATTTGATAAGTCATAAAGAGTGTGTGTTATAAAGTATCATTGGCAGCTCTAAGACACACACCAATACTTAAGAAAGAATGAATGTGAGAGTCCATTTATAGATAGTTGGAATGATTGACAGATAGATGACTAGGGTAGATAAGTGATCTGTTTGTGCATTTGTAGTCTTAGGATGCATTTGAAAAAACAGAAGTTCCAAATTTCTGTAGTGGGATTAAGTAGAGTTGCATGATTGTCCTAAGTTACATTTAAAATGGTTTTAAAACACATCGTAGAACTTAGGACCGTTTGAGAATCATTAGTAGAAGCTATTTAGTAGTTATTTAGTAATTAGTTATTTAGTAAAGAGAAAAAGAAAACAAAAGCTAAAAAGAGTTAAAAACTCATGCTGTATGTAGGTTATAGTATGGAACAGAAAGAACGAAGCACAACCCTTTGAATTACACTTAAATGAAACTTTGAATTTAGTGTTAGAGATCCTAGTATAACTGATTTTGAGTTAAGTTCTAGGAGGTAAAATTATGTAGTTAAAATAGTGGGGGAAGGCTTCTTGGCCTATGTGAAATTTGTCATATGCTTTATAGTCACAGTAAATTTTTTATCTCTCCTATTCATCTAAAGTGCCTCTCAGTTACCTGACGTGTCACCTTGAAAGCAGTTTTGGAGAAAGAACCTTCTTTTAAAAATAAAAATGTCGATCTTCTTGCTATTAAAAAGCTTCCTATATGTTGGTTGAAAATTTTCATTCACCATTATCCTATTTCCAATGAGACCCCAAATTACCCACATTATGTCTGAGACAAATATTCACAATTCCCATCAGTTTAATGTTAAATTATAAAAAAATGAACCCCAATATTGCCTTTTCCCCATTTAAAATTTCTAGTAGGTCTTATATTCTTAGAATGCATTTGGAAAAAGAGAATTTTCTTCTGTTTATTATTAGTTCAAATTAGGAACAAGCTTGCTTCACATGAAAATCCCTTCTCCCTCTCTCTCCCCTCCACTCCCCAAAACCCCGCACCTGCCCCCACCCCATCCACCCTCCACTCCCCAGGCAGGGTAGGGCCCTCGATGGGGGCTCCGGAAAGTCTACCACATCATCCTGGGCCCGGCCTAGGCCCTCCCCCATGTGTCCAGGCTGAGAGAGCATCCCTTCACATGGGATGGGCTCTCACAGTCTCTTCTTACACCAGGGAAAAATACTAATCCACCACCAGCTTCTGGCAATCCTGGGTCTGCTTGCCTCAATTGCTCAGCTATTTGGTGAGCCTGCATTTTTGATGTTTGGACTAAACCTTGAATCCCAGGTAGCTTAGGTGCTGTGGTAGCATGCTCCATCTCATTTGGCTTTCCATCTCAAGTGGTTAAGCATTCATCTTAGTGACTTCAGACATGTCATCTCCACTTAGTTTTTTTTCTGTAAGTTCACAAACTATTAAACCCTGATGTGGTGAAGCCACAAAATAGTGTGCACAGTACCCCTTAATTTAAATCAGTGCTTAGTAAAAATTACCTTTATTTTTCTTTCTGTTTAAATGGTATACATAATTAAATATATGCTAGGCTTCTGCTTGCCAAGTATATCTGCTAATGAGTATGGAAATTGCTGGAAGTAGCACATAATGTTTGAGCCACCAACAATCATGCTCAGGCATGGAGTTGAAACAGTTAAACTAATTTAGCACAGAGACTTTTTACCAAGCTCTTAACCTAGTTTTATCTGTGGTACATGTCCACTTGCTTTACACACAGGGAGGCTGCAAAACTTGTCATGAACACTGATGGTACGAGGGACAACTGCTTTAGTGAGCCTAGGACTGTCACCGCAGCCACGTCAGAGCAGATGGCTCCAGTCTAGAGATGGAAATTGGCAGCAGTCAAACACAAATCCTGGAAAGCATGTCTGCACTAGTAGAAAGGAGCTTTTTCCTATATACGAAGTCATTCACAGCATCCCATTGAGAATGTCTGGAAAAATTACAGGGAGGCACTGGCCGATATAGTTAATTTGCCTATTTGTATATACAACTTGTTGAATATACATATTAATATAAGTATATATGCAATGTATGTATTTACTATCAGCAAACTGTGCTGCATTTATTTAGAAACTTGCAGCTGATACATGGTAATATTCCCCCTGCTATAGTATTTTCTACAGTTGTACTATGGTATACATTAATATTAAATGTCATCTTCCTAGGAGTAGGTTACTGTCTAAGCGGAGCACAGTGGGCTTTCTGTTTTGTTTTTGTCTGTTAAGGACATAGTGTTTTAGTACAGACCAATATCTGTACACATCCAACAGATAGGTGCGGAAAGACAAGGTACACTTTATGATTTTAAATTTAGACATAAGCTTCAATCTAAACAAGCTGGTGTGACCGTATTTTACTAGTGTTTACTTTACTGTGTGTAATGAGAACCTGGATGGGACTGTGAAGCCTGACATTATTTTCCTTTGCAGTGGACTTCCCTGCTGTAGCTAACATCCATGTGATGCCAGTCCTCAGTCAGAACACAGGCTCGCTGTCAGTGTGTGTGGCCCACCTGGATGTGTGCCTCTGACAACTTCCCAAAGCCTGGGATACCTCTGTCTCCAATATCACAAGAAATTGTGGTTATTAGCAGATGCCTGAAATAAACCCTGTACCTCTTGAAAAGCGTTCACCATCAGAACTGCAGTGTACCATCTCTTGTTATATTAAAATAAATTAAGACAAAACCCAGTTTTAATTTATTCTGAGAAAGCATTTTCTGTTTGGGGAAAATCTGGATAATGAGTGAATTCAATCAAGCAAACGAAAAATAAATACAAGGTCCCTGTTGGTGTGGTGGATAATTAATGCTTTGAATGTATGAATCATTGCTAGGTATCATGTTAACTATAAAAGAGGGTTTTTTTCCTCATTACAACTTTGCTTGAGTAGAATGTATGCAATGCACAGGTGTTAATTACATTCACAAGGATGTAGGAACATCTCTCTTTCCTGAATTTGCACCTCTCAAAAAAAGAAACTATGTAACTATTGAACAATACTTCTTTGTTTGTGGAGGTTTTGCATTGTCTTGCTGCTGTTGTTTAGAGGAGACCTAAGTACCAGTTTTATTTCATTCATTGTTATTAGTATATATTAATTTATATGACAATTTCATATCATATGATTTGATCATATTTATCCCTCCTTGGCTAATTTTTAAAGTATTGCCATGCTAATTTCATATATGTGGCTTATTTAAGTGACAAAATATATGTATTAGTAGACCATAAAATTACAGTTTGATATACAGCTCTCAGATGAAGTTTGCAAGGAAACACACAAATAGCTAACGTCTAAAGTCCAACAGGGGGAGCTACTGGATGGACACTTGCAGGTCAGATGGACAATGAGCAGATGGGGGAGTGGATGGCTAACCTTGAGAACACAGAGTGGGGAAAAAAGTGCCGAGAGTGTAACACAGGAGACAGTTGTGAGCAGCAGGGTGGAAAAATATTTCTTCCCTGGAAAATGCCCGTTACTGCAACACTTCTGATGTTGTCTTGTCTCAGACTCTTGAGGGATTGAGTAAGAGAATGGAGGGAATTTAGTGCTGCTGGTTGTGACGTACACCATATGACTGACTGGGGGACGTTGACCTCTCCAATTATAATTTCCTTACCAGTAGATTGTGACATCGCCGAGTAAAACTGTGAACCCTGGATCAGACTGTCCTCATTTAAACTAACCGAAAACCTAACAATATTCAAGTTTTCAAGCAGTAATTTCCAAAGTATCATCCATTATTTAAAAAAATAATTTAAAGTTAACCCCTTTTATAATAATGATATAAAGTTATATTACACAAGTTAAATTATGAAATTCAAGATTTTGCTGTCTACCTGTTATAAACTTAGTTAATGAGAGTAGTAAAACATAAAGAAAAGTGAAACCAAAGGTTTAAAATTAAAGCATTGCCGGGCGGTGGTGGTGCACGCCTTTAATCCCAGCACTCGGGAGGCAGAGGCAGGCAGATCTCTGTGAGTTCGAGACCAGCTTGGTCTACAAGAGCTAGTTCCAGCCTCCAAAGCCACAGAGAAACCCTGTCTCGAAAACAAAACAAAACAAAACAAACAAAAAAAATTAAAGCATTATGCCAAGTAATATATAATTAGGGGAAAATCTGTAATTTGTTGGTTTCATGGTATTTCAGGAAATACTGAGTTATGTGGATAGAGTTTTGAAACACCTTTGCAGCTCTATCTGTTGAAACAAACGTGGAAAAATAAAATACAGTCTCAACCACAGTGTCTACTGTGGGAGAAAGTTTCAGTGCTTACACTCTGGAGTATCTCACTCTGCTCTTAGTTTTCATCTCAGTTTTATCATAGGTGAAATTGCTTTACTAAGTAGGGCAGAGTTTGTGGCCTATGAGTAGATAGCAGCTTTGTTCCTTCCAGCCACTTCACATTAAGTTTTCATCGCATACCTGTTCTTTCACATGGCCTTTGCAGGCCTTTTCAGATAATAAAATGGCATTTTTTTTTGCATGGGTTCAGCCTAATAAACAACAATACTTTGACTCAAATCCTTCTCTAGCATAAGCATCGCCACCTCTCTTAGAAGCCTGATCCAGCATTAGAAGGTAATGTACTCTTCTTCTTCAGTGAAAACTCTATGCCATGCTCAGCATTCCTTGGATGCCTGAAATTCTTTGGGTAGGGTAGAACTTTCTTGGGCTTATCCCTCTCCAACCATGCTGTCTACCCTAGTATGTCTATTGTTTTGGTTCTTATGATAGTTTGAATGGAAAATACCCCCCCAATAGCCCACAGGGAGTGGGGCTATTAGGATGTGACCTTGTTGGAGCAGGTGTTACCTTGTTGGAGGAAGTGTGTCACTGTGGAGGCAGGCTTTGAAGTCACAGATATGCTCAAACATGCCAAGTGTCTCAGGCCATCTCCTGTTGCCTGCAAGTCAAGATGTAGGATAGTTGGCTATTTCTGTAACACCATGTCTGCCTGCACACCCCCATGTCTCACCATGATGATAATGGACAAAACCTCTGAAGTGTAAGCCTTGTCCAATTAGATGTTTTCCTTTACAAGAGTTGCCATGGTCATGGTGTCTCTCTCTTCACAGCAACAGGAGCCTAACTGAGACAGTTCTTGTTCAGTTCATACTAAAGAAGTAATACTGGTGAGATACTACAAGTGTAGCTTCTTACATTACTAGGAGACACAATCTTATAGCAAACTTCATGATCTTCTGGCTCTTAAAATTGTTCCACCCTGTCTTCCATAATGATCCTTGAGCCCTAGCTGTGGAAGTTGTATTATAGACTTATTCTTTGGAACTGAGCTCCACAAGTCTGCATTTTGATTGGTTGTGGGTTTTGGCTATAGTCTATTTCTATTGCAAAGAGTTACTTCCTTGATTAGAGATGAGGACTACACATCCTTGTGGGTATAAACGACAGATAATTAAATATCAATATTACCTTGGTTTAATGAAATGGTTGTTGTGGGATCTTCAAGTTCTATGACTTCACTAACCCTGGACAGATGGTTGGAATTCTAGTGCCAGGCGTGGTTTTCCTTCATTCAGCATATCTTAAGTACAATTAGTTACCACCAAGAAATATGTGCCACTGATGCATCCATAGGGTTATATTGTCATAGTGGTCATTGCTATGGTTCACAGATGTCATAGCTGTGTATGGCTGTTAGCTGCTTCGCTTTCTTGGAAGCTTGAATGGTACATCAGAGAGAGAGTATTCAGGTTAGTTTTAGCTCAGGGTCCTCTGTACCCTGTGTGTAAAGTTGACAGTGTCTTTGGCAGTAGGGACTTACAGTCTACCTCCAGGGTCAAACAAAGATAATAACAATAGCCTTTAATGTTTTGAAAAACCTCTTGGATAACTCTGACCAACAATTCAAAGGAGAATATCTCTTCCATGGTGCTCAGATTTTTGTTAGGTGGTCTTTTTCATTTATAGGAAGGATTGTCAGCCAGATGGAAAATTTTCTATACCAACTTACATTTATTATATGCATTTTAAGTAGCTAATAGTATAATTCCTACTATATTAGAGTGCCCATCACATCCCCGTTTCTATTCATAAGGTTTTAACAGCATTATGCATTCTATTTGATGTCTTAATATATACCATTCTAGTTACTAATTTTCTCTTTGATTGTTTTTCATATATTGTTTTAATCTGATCATGATCACTATTAAAATTTATTATAGTTTAAGATACTTTAGGAGCACTCAATTAATTATCATAAATCTATTTTATATTATCTACTTCATTGTTTTTATATTACCTCATATCCTTGTGGTCGAATCTGGATTTGGTTATGAGATATGAATTTTGTTCATGGTGAGTTATTTTTGTTACAAACTCATTTTTAATGAACTTTATTTTAGTTGAAGAATATCTATATTATGAAACATTACAGAAACTATGCAAGCTTGGAAAGGAACTCAATGGAAAATCTCCCATTAACTATACACATACATGCAGGATGAAGTAGAATATCAAACTGCCTTAAATGAAGACATGAGCTCCTTTAAAATTTCAGGAGGAGAGATTATTTTTTCCAGAACAAACAGTCTCTTTAAAAGATTTAAAATTTCTCTATGTGTGTTATGGAATATCTGTTTACACTGTGTGAAGGTGTATCTCTGCCCAAGATGTCTTCTCATTGTGTTAATAAAGAGAAAATGGCCAAAAACTAGGCAGGGAAAAACGGGCAGGATTTCTGGGGAAAAAGAGGAACTCTGGGAAGAAGAGAGGCAGGGAGAAGCCAGCATGACGCTGAGCAGGCTGTGTGGGAAAAAGGTAAAAAGCCATGTGACAGATGATAAGTTAATAAAAGCAGGTTAACATAAGTTATAAGAGCTGGTTAGAACAAGCCTAAGCTAAAGGCCAAGCTTTTTATAACTAGTAACAAGTCTCTGTGTCATTATTGGGGAGCTGGTGGTCCCAAATGAGAGTTCAGCTACACATGTGCTTTTTGATGGATCTTTTTCAAAGACCATGTTTTAAAAGAAAGCACGTTGTGGGCCCTATCTTGGTGGTGTACTTACTTAGTGGTGTTTTCCACTTAGAACATCTCCCTTCCACAGAAGGCTTAGTGTCTCCCCTTCCATTAAAACTCAGTCCTTAGTAACTACAAGCAATCCTCAACTACGCAGAAATCACAGTGAAATATGACATACCATTCTACTTTAAATCTCTCATTCTTTGGGAGACCTAGGGATTCTTTGTGTTATTGTTGTTGGCTAGATTTCTAGTATCATATATGATTTCCCTCTTGTTGAGCATGTCTTAAGTCCAGTTAGCAAACTCTTGCACTTTTAGCAGTATTGTGCCATGCTGTATATTGTGGCTCATAGATGTCACAGTCAGGTAGGACCCTTGGTTGCCTCCCTCCTTCAGAAGCTTGGACGAAACCTCAGAGAGGAGGCTTTCTGGTCAGTTCTAGTTTTATTTTCATTCTTTATAGATATCCAGGGAGAGTTTTATATTTGCTTAGTATGTCATGTTACTGTAAAGGGGATATCTGGGGTATTTTATATGTGTTTTTTAACTCTAAAGCACTCTGTCTTTGTTTTTTCATTGTTGACAATGTGCAACTGCACACAGAATAATTTTAATGTATGAAACATAGGTCAACAGAGCTAAACAAAGATATTTACTAAACCAGCTATTAAGGTGCCCGCAAAGACGTTCACACTAATGAAGAATTTGAGT